TAGAATATGTATTCTTTGGTTTAGATTGGTTTGGTTTTTTTTTAAGGCATATCAACCTCAATGTGTTTTTGTTTTAGGAATTCGTATGAATAGAATATGTATTCCTCAATTGGTTTGGTTTATTTTATTTAAGGCATATCAAACAATGGGTTAACATTTTTAGGATAGATTCGTATGAATAGAATATGTATTCTTTGGTTTAGATTGGTTTGGTTTATTTTGTTTTAAGGCATATCAAACTCAATGTGTTATCTAATGCCGACAAGATTTTAGGATAGATTCGTATGAATAGAATATGTATTCTTTGGTTTAGATTGGTTTGGTTTTATTTTGTTTTAAGGCATATCAACCTCAATGTGTTATCTAATGCCGACAACATTTTTTAGGATAGATTCGTATGAATAGAATATGTATTCTTTGGTTTAGATTGGTTTGGTTTATTTTGTTTTAAGGCATATCAAACTCAATTTTTAGGATAGATTCGTATGAATAGAATATGTATTCTTTGGTTTAGATTGGTTTGGTTTATTTTGTTTTAATGTTATCTAATGCCGACAACATTTTTTAGGATAGATTCATATGAATAGAATATGTATTCTTTTTTAGATTGGTTTGGTTTATAGATTCAATGGTGTTATTTAATGCCGACATGAATAGAATGAATAGAATATTATTCTTTGGTTTAGATTGGTTTGGTTTATTTTGTTTTAAGGCATATCAACCTCAATGTGTTATCTAATGCCGACAACATTTTTAGGATAAATTCATATGAATAGAATATGTATTCTTTGGTTTAGATTGGTTTGGTTTATTTTGTTTTAAGGCATATCAACCTCAATGTGTTATCTAATGCCGACAATTCGTATGAATAGAATATTTTAGGATAGATTCGTATGAATAGAATATGTATTCTTTGGTTTAGATTGGTTTGGTTTATTTTGTTTTAAGGCATATCAAACTCAATGGGTTATTTAATGCCGACAAGATTTTTAGGATAGATTCGTATGAATAGAATATGTATTCTTTGGTTTAGATTGGTTTGGTTTATTTTGTTTTAAGGCATATCAACCTCAATGGGTTATCTAATGCCGACAACATTTTTAGGATAGATTCGTATGAATAGAAATATTCTTTGGTTTAGATATTTTGTTTTAAGGCATATTCAATGTGTTATCTAATTTTATTTTTAGAATTTGGGCATATCAACCTCAATGTGTTATCTAATGCCGACAAGATTTTAGGATAGATTCGTTGAATAGAATATGTATTCTTTGGTTTAGATTGGTTTGGTTTATTTTGTTTTCATATCAACCTCAATGTGTTATCTAATGCCGACAAGATTTTTAGGATAGATTCGTATGAATAGAATATGTATTCTTTGGTTTAGATTGGTTTGGTTTATTTTGTTTTAAGGCATATCAACCTCAATGTTTGGCCGACAACAAGATTTTTAGGATAGATTCGTATGAATAGAATATGTATTCTTTGGTTTATTGGTTTTGTTTATTTTGTTTTAAGGCATATCAACCTCAATGTGTTATCTAATGCCGACAACATTTTTAGGATAGATTCGTATGAATAGAATATGTATTCTTTGGTTTAGATTGGTTTGGTTTATTTTGTTTTAAGGCATATCAATCAATGTGTTATTTAATGCCGACAAGATTTTTAGGATAGTGAATAGAATATGTATTCTTTGGTTTAGATTGGTTTGGTTTATTTTGTTTTAAGGCATATCAACCTCAATGTGTTATCTAATGCCGACAACATTTTAGGATAAATTCATATGAATAGAATATGTATTCTTTGGTTTAGATTGGTTTGGTTTATTTTGTTTTAAGGCATATCAAACTCAATGGGTTATCTAATGCCGACAACATTTTTAGGATAGATTCGTATGAATAGAATATGTATTCTTTGGTTTAGATTGGTTTGGTTTTATTTTGTTTTAAGGCATATCAACCTCAATGGGTTATCTAATGCCGACAACATTTTTAGGATAGATTCGTATGAATAGAATATGTATTCTTTTTTATTGGTTTGGTTTATTTTGTTTTAGCATATTCAATGTATTTATCTAATGACAAATTTTTAGGATAGAATGAATAGAATATGTATTCTTTGGTTTAGATTGGTTTGGTTTATTTTGTTTTAAGGCATATCAACCTCAATGTGTTATCTAATGCCGACAAGATTTTTAGGATAGATTCATATGAATAGAATATGTATTCTTTGGTTTAGATTGGTTTGGTTTATTTTGTTTTAAGGCATATCAACCTCAATGTGTTATCTAATGCCGACAAGATTTTTAGGATAGATTCGTATGAATAGAATATGTATTCTTTGGTTTAGATTGGTTTGGTTTATTTTGTTTTGGGCATATCAACCTCAATGTGTTATCTAATGCCGACAACATTTTTAGGATAGATATGAATAGAATATTATTCTTTGGTTTAGATTGGTTTGGTTTATTTTGTTTTAAGGCATATCAATATGTATCTAATTTTTTAGGATAGTTTAGAATATGTATTCTTTGGTTTGGTTTATTTTGTTTTAAGGCATATCAACCTCAATGTGTTATCTAATGCCGACAACATTTTTAGGATAGATTCGTATGAATAGAATATGTATTCTTTGGTTTAGATTGGTTTGGTTTATTTTGTTTTAAGGCATATCAACCTCAATGGGTTATCTAATGCCGATTCGTATGAATAGAATATGTATTCTTTGGTTTTTTAGGATAGCATATTCGTATGAATAGAATATGAATAGTATTCTTTGGTTTAGATTGGTTGGTTTATTTTGTTTTAAGGCATATCAAACTCAATGGTTATCTAATGCCGACAAGATTTTTAGGATAGATTCGTATGAATAGAATATGTATTCTTTGGTTTATTGGTTTGGTTTATTTTGTTTTAAGGCATATCAACCTCAATGTGTTATCTAATGCCGACAACATTTTTAGGATAGATTCATATGAATAGAATATGTATTCTTTGGTTTAGATTGGTTTGGTTTATTTTGTTTTAAGGCATATCAAACTCAATGGGTTATTTAATGCCGACAACATTTTTAGGATAGATTCGTATGAATAGAATATGTATTCTTTGGTTTAGATTGGTTTGGTTTATTTTGTTTTTAATGCCGACAACATTTTTAGGATAGATTCGTATGAATAGAATATGTATTCTTTGGTTTTAGATTGGTTTGGTTTATTTTGTTTTTTTCAAGGCATATTTTTGTTTTACGGCATATCAAACTCAATGTGTTATTTGCCGACAACATTTTAGGATAAATTCATATGAATAGAATATGTATTCTTTGGTTTAGATTGGTTTGGTTTATTTTGTTTTAAGGCATATCAACCTCAATGTGTTATTCTAATGAAGGCCGACAACATTTTTAGGATAGATTCATATGAATAGAATATGTATTCTTTGGTTTAGATTGGTTTGGTTTATTTTGTTTTTAAGGCATATCAACCTCAATGGGTTATTTAATGCCGACAAGATTTTTAGGATAGATTCATATGAATAGAATATGTATTCTTTGGTTTAGATTGGTTTGGTTTATTTTGTTTTAAGGCATATCAAACTCAATGGGTTATTTAATGCCGACAAATTTTTAGGATAGATTCGTATGAATAGAATATGTATTCTTTGGTTTAGATTGGTTTGGTTTATTTTGTTTTAAGGCATATCAACCTCAATGTGTTATCTAATGCCGACAACATTTTTAGGATAAATTCATATGAATAGAATATGTATTCTTTGGTTTAGATTGGTTTGGTTTATTTTGTTTTAAGGCATATTAACCTCAATGTGTTATCTAATGCCGACAACATTTTTTAGGATAGATTCGTATGAATAGAATATGTATTCTTTTGGTTTAGATTGGTTTGGTTTATTTTGTTTTAAGGCATATCAACCTCAATGGGTTATTTTTAATGCCGAATACAAGTATTCTTTGGTTTTTTGGCTGTTCCATACATTGTTTTCAAAACTCATGATTCTAATTGGTTTTTTATTTTGTTTTGCCAGTTTCTTTTTTTAAAAATGGTTTTTTCCTAATGCCTTTTTCAAAAAATGCACTACTAGAATAATTCTTTCTTCATAACTTCATCGCTGGTAATATTTCTACAAAAATAGTATTGCTGGCTTTAAAATCTATTCTTACATTTTCATAGCCCTCCGACCCCAGTTCGGGGGCGAAATTCCTGCCCACCACTGGGACCCTAATAGGAGCTACCAGCTCAGGTCAGGGTGGAAATGGGAACAGCAGCTATTCAGAGGCTGTTCCATGCTTCTCAAAAACTCATGATCAGAGGTCTTCCTGCTGGATGCAGTTTACCAACTTACCCAGGACGCGGGTGTAGTTTATCGTCATACCCATGACGCGGTGGGATTCTGATGGACCTGTGTGATAAGATGCTTTCCTAAAAGACCTGTTGACCAAGCGTGAAAATCTCTTCTCACAGCCATAAAGAATGTAACAGTCAAAGAGTATATAAGCTCAATCAATTGTGCTTCGATTGTTCACAGAAAAGAGTTTCTTCCTGCATCCGAAGTAAAGTCTGCTTTGATTTGTTACCATGTTGAGTTAAGGCAATGTAACCAGTTCTCAAAATATGCTAAATGGTTTCATACATTCCAAACTAAATACCTAAACCTTCTGGGAAAAGATATGCTGGCGAGACAATGTTGAAAATATTTAGACAAATATAAAAGGAATATGTCAATCTGAAATAACTAAATGTGGTGAGTTGGTGACGTGAGTTTCTGTAAAATAATACCATACAATACTCTGTGGAGCATTTCCATATGGCAATTGTGTTGCTATCTAAGAACATAAGGATGAGACAGAGAAATGCTTCGCAGTATAGACATAAAAAAGGGAGAGAAAATAAAAGAGGAAAGACAAATCGATGAAGTGGGGGACGATGTATGACGTGAATGAAAAGGAGGGAAAATGAAAAATAAAAGTATGTATTGGAATATAACTTAAGGAAGAGGAAAAAGGAAAGAATGAAAGAAGAAAGGCAAAGACAAAATAATTATAAAAGATGAAAGGAAAAGAGTCAAAATAACAATAACAGAAAGAAATGGAACAAAAAAGAGATAGATAGATAGATAGATAGATAGATAGTTTAGCAGACAGAAATATGCAGATAGATAGATAGATAGATTAGCAGACAGAAATATGCAGACAGAGAGACTAACAGACAGATATATAGATAGATAGATTAGCAGACAGAAGTATGCAGATAGATAGATAGATAGATAGATAGATAGATAGATAGATTAGAAGCCAGAAATATGCATACAGATAGATAGATAGATAGATAGATAGATAGATAGATAGATAGATAGATGAAAATGAAAATAAGATGGAAACGTATATGACAGAAAGAAAAGACTAAACAAAAGTAAGAATAGATTATGCAATATTCGTTCAGGGCGCTGATGATTGCTGCTCTCCACAACTTCCTTTTCTTTCTTGTTCAAAGCAATGTTTGACTCTTTATCATCTGTCTTAATCCTAGCTCTGGTAGTTCACTCGCGGTTTCCTTCTTACACTTCTTTCTTTAATATGTCTAGAGAGTGTTGAATTTTCCGAGCCTTCTTTCTTCAAAATGCATGATTTAGAGCATGATATCTATTGCGTTGATTTTTTCTATTTATCCGAAAATATATGGTCCTCCGCAGCTTCCTATTTTTTCGTCTCAGCAATCCTTTTGTTTTTATCGTTCATTTGTTGTTATTTCGGCATTTTTCTCGCTCCATTTGCTGTTTTATTGAGTCTATTACTAACTGCTTTAATTTACCTCGTTTTCCCTCGTTTTATTCACTGAGTGTTAAATTACCCCTTCATTATGTAACCCCAAATTCCAGTTGTATTTATTTTTTTTTTATAAATCTGGGGTAACAAACGGTTGACTCGGGGATAATAAAAAGTTTAGTGAATAAACAAAAATAAATACCGCCATGAAATGGTCATAAAACTTGATTCACACAGAAATGACATTCAAATAATTTCTACGTTTGTGCGAGTGATGTCTTCCAGTTGTCTTTCTTTTAATCTCTGAAACTTTGACCTTGAAATGTTTAACCCATAGCAGATATCGATTTTCTATCTGCAACAGGATCATTCCGACGTAACATGAAATGTCCACGAAAATCTCCCTGTGTTCCAATTACAGATTTACCATCTCAAAAAAAAAAACAAAAAAAAAACATTTCAACAGCAATTTGGCGGCTCGTCTTCAGTCACTTTCCCACCGGCACAAGGTTGCCTCTCAGTGTATTTTCTATAAATACTTTCATGGTAATTGTTTATTACTAATATTATTTTCTTTAGTTTCTTGTAAATAGTTTTTTTGGTTCTCGTGTTGTAAATACTCATTGGGGCTAGTTTTTAGAATTGTTGTTTTATTCCCCTCCCCAACACAGACAAGTAATTGTAAATATTGAGACTAGTTAGTATTTTCATAGAGACAATGAGGTATTATGGTGGATGCAGTAAGAAAGTTACGTAAGAATGTGTTGTTTTGATGTACGGAATATTGTTTGTACGATTGGGTCAGTGTTTGCGGCTAGATAAATTATAGTTAAGACAGAAGAAGACCGTCCTTTTCTCAATCCCAACTTCGGCCTTGTGCCACATTTCTGTGTATAAAGCAGAATAAATATTGTCTTCATTATGAGTGTGTGGCTGAGTGACTGCTTGGAATGAATAAATGCTTTATATTATTGAAGTCCCGCATTGATTTCGTCCAGTTTACTGATGTTTCTGCCACATTTAAGGATTGTGCGGGGGTTATTACTAATATTATTTTGTTTAGTTTCTTGTAAATAGATTTGTTTTCATATTGTAAATATTCACTGGGGCTAGTTTTTAAATTGTTGTTTTACCCCCCCCCCAGACAATGAATTGTACATATGGGGACTAGCTAGAACTTTCATGGAGACAAGGAGGTACTATTTTGGATGTTGTAAGAAAGGTAAGTAAGAATTCTTTGTTTTGTTGTTAGGAATATTGTGATATGTTTGGGTCAGTGTTTATAGCTAGCTAAGTTTAACGTTAAGGCAGAAGAAGACTGTCCTTTTCCCCATTCCTCATTTTAGCCTTGTGCCGCATTTTGTAAATAATTATAAATAAATATCTCTCTTCACTATGGTACCTCGACTTTAAGAATTTAAGCGCAGTACTAGACTGACAACGAGGTTTCATCAGTATACAGTTGAGATGGTTAGATGTAACCTTAAGTTCTATGCTAACAGTTTCTCTTCTCACACTTCTTGCTTTTTAGGCCTCTCTTTCGGCTCCATGCTTTCCAGCAAAATTTAATCTACACAAATTCAAATGCAATGCAATCGCTTTTTACTGTCCTCTCGACTTTCTTTTTCTCTTCCCCCTCATTATTAATGTTAATTTTCCCACACCCTATAACCCCTTGTCTTAGTGACTTCCCTGCTTTGTATGGGGTGATACCAATAAAAATACAAAAGCAAAAAAAATAATAATAATAATAATAATAAAATGGTGTTCACCGGTGTAAGCTATGATGATAAATGATGCTATCGGAAAATAACTGGTAAGACATTACCTTTATGAAGACAACATTGACACTTGCTCATGTTGACAGAGGTGAGAGATTAAATATGGAGTCTATTTCTACCGCACCCTATATTTGAAAAAAAAATATAGTTATTCTTAAAAAAAAAATTAATGCAATACTCACACACGAAAAAGAAATAAAAAAATAATTATTCTGAAAAGCTATTGATATAAAGAATATTCCTGGGCTCATAACCTGTGAAGTGAATGACCATGGTAAAGTGTAAAATAAATGATGGAACTATCACACAAAATTGACAAATTTGCTTTAAGCAATAACAAGAAAAAGAAAACAACCGGGCAAAAATAATATAAAGCAAACAAACAATATATGCAAGGCAAATTAACAGTAATAAGGCAAAGCAACTGTAATATGACAAAAAGTTCACAAATTAAGAATTGGTGTCGACAAACAAAATGAAGTTCGAACAAGTGAACGCAGCATTCTGACTTCAAAACAAGACAGATCGGGACTGAGTCAGATAAAACCGATAAATGGCCTATTTTATTGGCTATGAAAAATCCCAGCATGCATTTGTGAGCATCTATCTATAAGTTGCGGAGGAAGGCAAATATTTTGCAGTTAATCCAACAAAGACATGGACCAACAAATATAAATAACACCTAATTCCAGAAATTAAGACAGGAATTCTACCGTCAAACACAAATGCAGTGGTAATCGTACTAACTCGACTTTGTGTGACTAGCGTACTGATCGTCGAGCGACGATCGCCATCTCTCTATATGTCATTTTCTTTCAGGACGTAGGTGATCATGACTCTCCCCAACTTCATATCTTACGCATTTAAGAAGCCCCTTCCTCTTGATGGTACTTTTTCCACCATCCTATTAGTTATGTCATGTCATACAGGTTGCTCGCATATTTATCTTGCTTCTATTGCAACCTATGCGCCTTCATTCCTCTTTTCTATGCTTGCAATATTTCAGTTCTATCTTTCTGATTGTTAACTCAAATTTTTTCTAGTTTCTATTCTACTCAAAATTTCTACGTTTCTAGTATAATTTGCCCATGACGTGTTCAACATTCCTCGGCAGAATCCCTCCTCTGTCGCTTCATGTCTTTTCTTCATCTCATATAATTGCCCCGATCATATATAGGAGACCAAGCCTTACATATTAGCTCATCATTTTGTCTCTAATGACACCTTTTGAGTCTTTATACTTTCTCATATTCCGAAAAAGGAGTTTTCGCTATTCCTCTGTAATTTCCGTTAACAGTGTCGCAAATTCTGTCGTCTGTTACGCTACTAAAAAGAGAGCTAAATTACTGCACCTACTTGACTTTTATGTTCCCGATATAGTAATGAAGCCACTTCCTCCTCCCAGCATTGGTTTAAATATTAGTACTTGTACAGGTTGCGGCAGAAATCACTCCAACATTTCAAAGGTTGACAAAAGACCAAAGTGGACTGCTATCAAAATTCACTGTTGTTTAAACAAAGAGAAACATTTTTTTATACATTTGGTTTTAAAAATGACATCCAGCAAATGGTGACCTCAATTCGCCATAAACTGTTGTAAGCAATTTGTAAAATTTTACATCACAAATTACATAAAACAATCTTGGCACCATTTGATTGTCCTAGTGACGAAGAGTACTGTGAAAATAATGCAAAAGCTTTTACCGAATTAATATAATTCCTCGTCTTTGTTGATATTCTAAAAGGTTTCGGTCGTTGTGCCATCTGCCGTTCTTCAGATGCCTGTTAATTCGGGTGACTATCTCTGAGCAGGTAGTACTGTCATAAAATCAGTAGAAACGTGAAGAATAACGTTGCAGTACTAAAAAGAAAAGAAAAAAAAAGATATTGCTGAACAATGGAGATCGGAAAGAGAACTGTCTACACACTGTAAATTAAATAAAAGGGTTCAGTTCGAAATTCCTTGAAGGCTGCCGGAATCGACAGGCAACTAAGAAAGGTCGGAGATAACAACAGCCAAAACGTTGTGATAATAACAACAAAGATGGAAACATTAGTCCGATTGTAAATAATGATTGTAAAGAATGTTGAAAATATTTTCTCTGACAAACTTTCTATGCATCCTGGGTATGATGATAAACTATATAGCGTCCTGGGTATGACGATAAATTACATCCGTGTCATGGGTACGACGATAAACTACATCCGTGTCATGGGTATGACGATAAACTTCATCGCGTTCTGGGTATGAAGATAAACTACGTCCAACAGCAAGGCCTCTGATCAGGAGGCTTTAAGGAGCGTGGAACCACCTCTTAATTGCTGGTGTTCCCAGGTACACCCTGACCCGGGGTGGTAGCACCTGTTAGGGTCCCAACTATGGGTAAATAGTTAACCCCGAAACTGAGGTAAAAAGCATTATGAAAGTGTAAAAATAGGTTTTAATACCAGAAATATCTTCTGAAGAAAAATTATTACCAGCAATACATTATTACCAGCAATACATTTTTGAAGGAAAAAAATAATACCAGCAATACACTATTTTTAAGAAAAATATTACTACCAGTATATTATTGAAGAAAAATATTGCCATCAATAGATTTTTTGAGAAAAAAAACATATATTAGCAGCAATACATTTTTGAAAAAAGTTATTACCTGCAATAAAAGTCTTGTCGACATTAAATAACCCACTGAGGTTGAAATACCATAAAACAAAATAAACCAAACTAAATCAAACAACGCTTCTATTGTAACCCTATGCCCGACTAAGCTAATCTCACTAACAATTTACACCATGCACCAGTCATAGAGTGGTGTGTAACAATCTACTTTCGCAGATCATTCGCTAGTGTTA